AAAATAATAAATGTTAATATAAAAGGAACACTGGAATAAATGTTCTCAGTGTATATATTCCCTACATGGAGTAGACAATTCCCTATTTTCCTCCATATTGAGTATACAAAACCTAATGAGTTTTATTTGCTGGCAAATATTAATATTTTTCAATGTAAAATGTGAGGAGTAGATATTAAGGATGTTGCACTCACTTAGAAGGAGATATCACTGCAGTCCTGGGGTTAATGTTGCGTTAAACATCCAGTAGAGCCCACATGGTTGTTTGATAGTAGAACTGCCTTCCCACCCAACTGGATGGCCATGACAAAGCATTGAGACTGACCATTCCCAGTAACAAACACTACTGCGCAATCGCTTACTCTTTCCAAATGGGAAAAACATTTCTTCAATTTTGTGTTCCTCTGTCACTTAGCTGTCAATGAAAGAACTCGAATATCACTGTGGCCCGTATTGTTGCTTACATATTACTGCTTTCTAGGTGATTTCCTGCATGCTTACTTTTCATATATTTTTTTTTTATTTCAGCATATTATGAGGGTACAGATGTTTAGGTTACGTATGTTGCCCTTGCCCCTCCTCCCCCTCGAGTCCGAGTTTCCCCCGAGTCCGAGTTTCAAGCGTGTCCATCTCTCGGATTGCACTCTTTGTCTATGTATATACCTGTCCCCTCCTCCCTCTCCCCCCTTCCCCCTCCCCCCTGCCCGACATCCAATGGATGTTTTTCTTATATGTGCACTTATGTGTTTATCAGTTAATACCAATTTGATGGTGAGTACATGTGGTGCTTGTCTTTCCATTCTTGGGATACTTCACTTAGTAGAATGTGTTCCAGCTCTATTTTCATATGTTTTTAAAGACTGATTACATTTTTGGAACATATATTTCGTTTGGTTTTAGTCTAAAATTAAACCATGTGATTAAAGACTAATTTTTTAAGTGAGATAAAAATATCGTGAAACAAAATGATAAATTATGGGAGGTTCTGTCTTTACTTTAATATTATCAACCAATTCCATCTTGCTTAACCACTTGGTATATGTGTGACTAGATTGTTTATTTAGGTTATTTGATGAATTTTCTGAAATAGTCTAGCAAATTGTTATACTTTGTTTACTCAGAAAGATACCATTTGTTTAATTACTTTTATTAATTTTTTTTTTGGCCTATGTGTTTGTAGCATTTTGAATGTGTCAAAAATTATAGCTTTATGGAATACTATTCAGCTTTAAGAAACAATGGTCATATA